GGTGCTATGGGTGTTTATCAAGATGGAATAATGCAAGATAATGTTGATGGAAAACCTGTAACTGCCCATCTTTTTGAATACACCACTCAATTAATGATTGATAGTGAATTCAATATTCGTGGACAGGACAAAAATATTCCTCCAGTTCAAGTCTTATTTTGTTTAAAAGAAAAGAATGCTAAAAAATTAAATTCTCATCGTTGGTTTTTCAATGCTTTTGCTGCTCAATTGAATCCAAATGTCTGCGTTTTGCTTGATGTTGGTACAAAACCTTCTCATACTTCAATTTATCATCTATGGAAAGGTATGCATTTAACAATTCAACAATTCGGTTTATTTATCATTTTATTTTATTATATTTATTTTTATTATTCTATTTATTTTATCTTTTATTTATTTACTTTATTTATTTTATTTATTTATTTTATTCTTTTTGTTTTATTTATCTGTTTAAAGCTTTTGACCGTGATCCTTATGTCGGTGGTGCTTGTGGTGAAATAAAAGCAGAACTTGGAGCAGGATGGAGGAATCTTATGAATCCTTTGGTCGCATCTCAAAACTTTGAATATAAAATGTCCAATATTTTAGATAAACCATTAGAATCTGTTTTTGGTTACATTTCCGTTTTACCAGGTGCATTCTCTGCATATCGATATAAAGCTTTGCAAAATACTTCCCCCGGTAAAGGTCCTCTTGCATCTTACTTTAAAGGTGAAACTATGCACGGTTCAGGTGCTGCTAGTGCCGGTATCTTTGAAGCAAACATGTACTTGGCTGAAGATCGTATTCTATGTTTCGAATTAGTCGCTAAAAAATATGAATCATGGAAATTGAAATATGTCAAGGTATATAATCTAATCAACCATTATTTATGTGTTTATTATTCTATTTCTAATATAAAAATATATAATATCTATATAATTATTTTAGTCTGCTAAAGCAGAAACTGATGTCCCAGATACTATACCTGAATTTATTTCTCAACGTCGTCGTTGGTTAAATGGTTCTTTCTTTGCTGCTTTCTACTCTGTTGCCAACTTTACACGTATCTGGACTTCTGGTCAACCATTTTACCGCATGTTAATGTTACAACTTGAATTCATTTATAATGCCATTCAATTATTATTTAATTGGTTCGCCTTGGTAAGTTCTGTATAAAAACTTTTATAGTTGATCTGTATAAAACTTTTATAGTTTATAATGAATATCATATTAATATTTAACATTATAAATAGGGTAACTTCTTCTTGGCTTTCTTCTTTCTTACTCAATCCACCACTTCAAATCCAGAAACTGATCCTTTCCGAGGTTTTGGAAACGAGCTATTTGAAGCTGTACGATCGTTATATCTGATGGTCATTATAACGATCTTCATTTCTTCAATGGGTAATCGTCCTCAAGGTTCCAAATTTATATATACACTTTGCATAATCCTTTTTGCTATTATTATGGCAACTATGCTTTATTGTGCATTTTATACTGTATATCTTGCTGTATACAAAGCAAGTCCTCCAATTAATTTCAAGAGTTTTGCGAGCATCCAAGCTGCTTTAAAACGGGCTGCTTTCCGTGATATCGTAATCTCCATTGTTTCAACTTATGGTTTATATTTCGTTACGTCCTTCATTCATGGTGAACCCTGGCACATGTTTACCTGTTTATTACAATATATTTTACTTGTTCCTTTCTATGTCAATATTCTCATGGTTTATGCTTTCTGCAATACCCATGACGTTTCTTGGGGTACAAAGGGTGACAATGGTAATTCCGGAAATTTAGGTGGTGCACAGGCAGTGACAGGGAAAGATGGTAAACAAGTGTTTAAAGTCGAAATTCCCACTGAAAGAGCCGATATCAATGCTGCATACGATAAGATTACTAGTGAGTTAAAAGTTAAAGTTCACGAAGAGAGACAACATCGTGATAGTTCTACGAAAAAGGATGATTATTATAAATTATTTAGAACAAATTTAGTGCTTACATGGATGTTTTCAAATGGTTTCCTTATTTTATTCTTTACATCAAATACTTGGCAAAGATATATCAATACCATTTATCCTGGTGGTGCTTACAATCCTTATTTGACCTTTGGTAAGTTGTTACTTTATTTATTTAACCCATTTTTATTCAAAACATTTTATTTTATAATTTGTTTTTTAACCTTTTTTTTTTTCTTTCTTTTAGTATTTTGGTCAGTTACAGTTTTATCGGCAATTAGAGCATCTGGCAGTATATGGTACTTGGTTCTTCGTGCAATATTTGGGTAAAAACATACTTAATAGAAAAAGAAATTTATTTTATATTTTATTTGTAAGATTTTTTTTTACTTTTTTTTAGTACTTAATTAGTTGTACAGAGAAAGAAATGAAATGAACTTTATTATTATTATTATTCTTCTTATTCTTTAATATTTTTTTATGCATAATAAAAAAAACTAATCATTTAAAATTTTAGACATAACTGATATTTTAAAAATTATTCATTTTTGTTATTTAAATATTAATTGCCAACTGTAGTAATGCCAAGTGGAATTTTGATCTTATCTTTCTATAATACAATTACTAAAAAGGTTGATTGGTAGGTGGTTAATTTGTTATAGGGTCTATTATATGCCATCTAACTTTATCAGTTTTTTTATGTCTACATGTTTCGTATTAATTTAATGTGTGCGCTGATCGTATCGGCTGATTTTAAATTCTTCAGATTAAGGTGCGTCAATTATTTAATTTCATAGATATCTAATGAAGGGTATCACTGAAGAGATTGGACAATGATATATAATTTCATATATCGAATGAAGGGCATCATTGAAGAGATTGGATTTCCTTTATCAAAATCAACCGATATACTTGAAATAAAAATATATTATGCGAAAAATTAATTTAGAATTAGAACAAGACTAGTTAATTGTAAAATAGGTAAGCATATAAGATTATTGGGTACAAATAAAATTATATGCAAGAACAAAAGCTCAGATGAAGCGAGCGTATTATTAAGTGTTGAAATCGGATGTATTGGATTTCAAAGAAACAGTCTCACCCGGAATGGTATGGTATGTCATAATAAACTACACTGGTCTAAATCACTATAAAAATTCTAGAGAATTACTCCGTATCCGCTATAACACATAGCTAATTATTTAAAATTATTATTCGTTGGCCTTTTGTAAGTCTATATCACACAATACTATATGATGCCCTCTACCTCTAATTCTATTAAGATAAATAATATTCAAAATCATATGTATGTATCACTTGCCCCGTACTCCGCTGATGTTTCTTTATCTAACACTTATATGTTTCATAAAAGTTCCTATCTATGAATAGTAAGTGCATTATATTTAGGTCCTACAAATAAACATGCAAGACACGATTGCATTATGTCAGAGCGGGAAATGCTAGTACCCAAGTGCCTAAAACTTATTTATTGTGCTGCCAGTGCCGGTTCCAGTGCCACAATGTTTTTAATACAAACAAACTTTCTATTTTAGGGAGATAATATAGTGTGGGGGGATAGCAATACAGCAATACGTATGTACTGTACGTATCAAACGAGTAGATTAGTGGGTCCACCAAAATTCAGCAAACGACCTGCAGATCGCCGCCGACCCATCATCGGGATTTACTTAT